GAACATGAAGGTCTCAAAGCTTTATCTAGACAACACAACGGAATGAGACACATTAAAGGTTAGCAACTTACTCCTATGGCATGAATAAAGCATCCTCAGCCTCAAGCTGAGTCAATTGGGTGTTGATGATAAATGGGCATGGCTTGGAAACCAATCATGCACTTGCCAAGCCAAATCAGGCTATCATACTGCAAAGGAGAACTCATCAGTGGCACAAATCATACCACCAGATCCCTGCTTCAACTGGAACACAGAACTATGGAGTATCAATACGTTACCCAAACTAAAACTATTCCTATGGAAGAGCTAAAGTGGAGCATTGCCTCTAGGAGAAGCTTTGGCCTCTAGAGGACTCATGCAACAAACATAATGCATCAGGTGTGGAGCTATGGAATCAGTAAGGACACCTCTTCTTCCAATGCGAATATGCCAAACAGGTCTGGTTCTAAGCACCGATTAAGGATCCCATTAGCCCTACAATCTCAGAGAAGGTCTAGCCCCATAAAAAAAATGATATGCCTTCCATCTGATCTTTTCAACCCGTTCATTCTCAGCGGAAGAAACAATCAACAAGGCAATCATGGATGCAAGAGAATGGATCCTGGGACAGGACTCAGAGCAAAAAGTAATCTTCCAGGCCCTGGATCGAGTCGATCGTGAAACAGAAACTGAGATCTTTCGCCTCTCCACGGACGCAGTCTGGCGCTCTGATTCACAAACAACATGCCTCGCCTGGATTGCTAGGAAAAATCTCAACCGAATCATTGACCAAGGCTCTTTGATTCAACCCTACACTTCCTCAGCATTAATGGCGGAAGCTCTTGCGGTTCGCGAAGCCCTATCACAAGCGGTGAACAAAGACTGGCAGAACCTACGATTGGCATCAGATTCACAGACTCTGATTCGACTAATCAACAAGAAGATTGTGAACAATGAGATTTACGGAATTCTTCAGGACATTTCAATTCTCTCTCAATTTCTTTTATGTAACCTTTGATTATGTCCAAAGGAATAACAATTTGCAAAATCAGTCTTGAACCAAGCTTTGTACCAACCCAGTTTAAATCCGGCTTAATGAAAATTTCACCTTTCGACCCAAAAAAAAGTATGACCATACACAAATTAAGTAAATTAGAAAGAATAAAGATTTAACAACGTAAAAAACAAATGTTAATGTTGCTATTATCATATTCAAATTGGTATTGGTACATCAATCTTTCGCATTTCAAATGATAATACTGATACCATCTCCTTTATATAAAAAGGAAAGATTTATTGGCCTCTAAGACCTGCCACGTAAGCTAAAATAATCAGAATATAATCAACCAATCACACGCTGCCAGTTTACACGTCTAAAATTTGTTTCAGGCCCAAAACACCTTGAAGCCCACATCATTCCAGGTCGAGCTCTTCTTTTCCAATATGTTGCTTCGATTTCCTTCCTTCTACTGAATCCCAACTTCGATATTATTAAGAGTAAAAGCCACAATGATCCATCTTCCCCACGTTTATGTTTTCCTTTACATATATTCGATATGTCTCTTTTACAAGTAGAGACGATTCGATAAGGAGACACAAATGGTCGTTTCGTAGTTCTCTCCACATCATGATACTTCGCAATGTCATAGAGCAGCAAGAGTATCGCCTTCTTCGAAGCTCCAAATTACCACTGCAAATGCGTTCATGGATCCCGCTAGATCCGCCGTGGTTAATCTAGGTAAGGCTGGAGATGAAATTTCTCGATCTTATTGCTTTATATTGTTTTTAGTGTTTCATGCTCCACTAGTTTTCTCAATTGCAGCGAAAATTTATGAGATTGGTTTCTATTTCTACAGGAATTAAAGTATATTTCTTTAAATTCTTGTATTTTTTCTCTTCTTTCTTCAGATGAGTAAAGAAATTGAACTGACACGGATGATGCTGCAGTTGGTTGAAACCGCTAAATGTAATCTCTTGGTTGTATTAAAGGAAAGCGATCGTTCTCTTCACAATTTTAAATTAGGTGGAAATATACAAATTCAAGTTGGCTCCTTTTTTTTCCTTACGAGGACAAAGTTTCATTCTTTTTCTTCTTTGTTTTATGAAAGCCAATGAGGAAGTTACTGAACAGACGATGGATGAGTTCATTGACTTGAAGTCATGGTTTGATTTCCTCCCTTTGAGTACAAATGTAAGTGAAAGTATGATTTTTTTTGTTAGCTCTTGTGGGATTTTTATTGTTGTGAAAACTCGAACAAATGCATTTCTCTATGATGTAAATGCGCATATGCAGAAGGATAATGGTAATTTTGAAGATGCGGCTAATTGGAAATAGAATTCTCTACAATCTTGTATAATTTCTTTTCATATGGTTTGCTTGATCATTAACTAAGAATGTTCTCTACCAAAAACCGTTTGAAACTTTTACTTCTCGATTTGCAGGCCAAAAGCATTGATGGCAGGGAACAACCTTCCAGATGGTTGAGTACGAAAAAGTTTTAATTTTTGTTTTCATGGTTACTTATCTAATCTTTGTAGTCAGAGGATTAGTAGTTTTTCACTATATTTCGAGATGACATACTCACCTTCATGGCTTTCCATTTTGGAGTTACCGCCCAACAACTAATGATAAGGTGAATCTTAAGGGACTGCATTTTCATTACTATACTTATCAATTGTTTCTTATGTGGTTTTTCCTTGGGGTAGTTAGTGCATGGAGAATTGGTATGACTAAAYGAGTTAAAAGCTATGGACTTCTCTTTARTTTTCATGTTGTTCGATTAGAGAATTGMCTCTGCGTATTAMTTTTGGTTGTTTTCACCCTCACAAATTTACAATTTTAAAGGCGATTGCGTTTGCTTGTAGGTTTGTTATGCGAAAKAATTTCRAGCAATTGGCTAAACTAATTTCATACGTCKWCTTRAGAACATYAGTGTAAGAGTCGGAAAGCATGTTAACACTCCAAAAAACGTTAAGGTGTTTTTCTGCGACATGCTTTTAGATCTTATGCTTATGATTTTGGTCTAAATTAGTTGTTGTCTCTTGTGCTAATGATATTTGGTGGATTTAGAACCAATAATTTTATGACAACTTTAAAATCTCAGTATTAAAAGTATTATCTTCATATACCAATGTTTGGAAATGGTCTTTCATGATAATGCCCTTTACCTTTTAATTTCTCTTATTTGATTATAATCATTCGAGATTTTAAATTATGTACAGGTTTTATTGTTTTCAAATCACTTGACACGTGATATAAGATTTGAACACTGTTTTTGAAGGTGGAAGAGCATCAGGGGAGGTCAGACTTAACAAGGAAGAGATAAAGTGTGAGGTGTGATTATGATGAAATATTAAGGTTAATTGACATGAAATTTCTCCAAAGAAAAATTAGTATTTTCTAGATTTCTTTCCTCTATCTTTGGTCAATATATTTTCAAATCGATATCAAAGTCTTCTTATTCCTTATATGTAGGTTTCACTATGATTTGACTATTTGTTTGCTCTTTAATTACAACTTCCTCTTGTGGATTTTGAAACTTCTACTTTTTACTAACTGCTTTTTGATTCGTTTTCTCGAAGTGATATGGTCAATTCTTTTATGGTTGTTGTGTTAATTTAGGAGTCAAGCGATCTGATTTGTCGGGTTGGGTATTAATTAATAGTAGAGACTTTTGAGATTTCGAGTAAGGTTTCACAATGGCTATGATGACTCCAAATCCAGCAACAGGTGAAAGCGATGGATCAATGAGATTGTATGGTATAGGTAGCCCTGTATGAAGACCAAGTAGAAGCGAGATTATGGACGAACTGGTTTCGTGCCTGATCAAGGACAAAATCTTTGATGTTGTGGATAAACACGTTGCGAAGAGCAAATCTACACTCATTTGGGCATTGAAAAAAACTGGAAGAAAGAAGATTTGCATTCTTCATGTTCACAGAGTAAATTCCTTACTTCGCGGTAATCTCTCATTTACCTTATGTTTGTTGCTTAGGGATACATCATTCTCACCATTAGGTTGTTGATGAGGTTATGAATTTTATGACTCTCTACAGGTAAATGTAAAAACGTAGAATACATGAAAATATTGGTAACTATTTTTAGTTGATTATCTTTTTCTGTTTGCAGATGAACGCATAGGAGGTTGAGTTATGGATTGTGAAGACAATAACAGTGAAACTGATTGATTGTAAGATGGATCAGATGAACTAAGCTGAAATTGTCACGCGAGTACCAAGACTGATATAGTAAAAGATATCCACTAGGATATAGCCAGACTTATCAAATTATTGTATGTCACATTGATTTTATTTCTCTTACGTGTGTTGCAAGACTGATTTCGCAAATTGGTTATAAAGTAAATATGCTCCTGGCTTATCGATGTGCCGAGGAATTTTCCTTCTTATGATTGCACACAAGAATCCCGCGATCCGTTTGTACACAAGATTCACCAATTCTATAATCATTTCTACCAACCACACTATATATGTTCTTCGTTCATTAAATTAAGAGTAAGAAGATAACATAATTGAAAGACAAATGACTAAGAATTATACAAACCAAATACATCGCATAACTACTCTCCCTCTTCTCTTTTCGAAACCTAATCTAAAACATTAAAACGTTCTACTTCATCTTTCTATTATTGTATTCTCTGTTGAACATTAAAAATAAATTAAAAAGTTCTATTATATGAATTTAGTCTTCTAAACATCATACGAAGTGACAAAATAATAAACCAAAAGACGTTACAAAATATTACTCAATGACAACAAAATAATATAAAACTCGCGCATAGCGCGGGGCAACCCCTAGTTATACTAAAGATAATAGATTACACATTTATTTACTCTGTTTCTTCGGTTAAGCAAAGGCGCATTGAAGGAACTTGATTACTCTATATCTTGGCCAAATAAGATTTA